TGTAAACGAACATACGCGGGCGTACCTGGGCTTGGCGAACGTCAACGCAGAAGAAAGTGCACCACCACCACAAGCACGGGCGTAAGAATACCATTAGGCCATTACTACTAAGAGATGAAATATGACATGAATGCATATTGCCCGCATCTCAATCACAACCTCTCCAATACACAGCTTACCGTCAATCCCCTAACCATGCACCACATCACGCCATTTCCCATTTCCCATTCCCACCACTCTCCCCCCTCGCATAGGCTACCCAGTTTGCCCGTTGTAGCTCCGTGCCCCCCCACACACATTCCTTGAGTACTGCATGTCAACTATCCTGTACACAGATTAACCTGGCTTAGCGCACGTCCATCACGGTGCAAGAAATTGGCGCGGGTATAAGTTGAGGAGCCCACCCAATCGTGGGGACTTTTCTCGTGTCTTTATTCAACCTCAGTCAGAGTCTTTGGCTGCTCGGCCACAACCCAAAGACTAGCCATCCGCCAAAAGAGACGTCGCTCTCCTACAGTCACAGTCCACGTGCAGACCACGCACTGCTCCATTCATTGCTCGCGTAAGGATCCGCTCTCCTATCCACCCACTTTTGTATCTCCCACCAAACGCTCTTCCTGGATCAAGACTTTTCCGATAACCAACTCTCTTGACAGAACTGCCAACTCAGGAAAAGGCCGTCCAATCATGCCCGGGCGACGATATGCTTTTCGTGAAGCGTCGAAAAACGGCAGCGAGCCGCAGAATGAAAATATACAAGAAAGGAAATCGTAATCATGTCGATGATTCGTCAAAGCCTGGGCGCAATCTCTGCTACCCTAATCCCGACCTGCTGTCACAATTGCATGAAGGCAGGCTGGTGCATCGAAACTCATTCTAGATCAAAACATCGACGGCACCTCGTACCACTCTAGTTGGGGCAGGCGCTCTGGACGTGGCCAGGCTGCTTGCAGCGGTAGCACACACGCTCAGAAGATGTCTCCTGGGGGCAGTCACGAGACAGGTGACCAACCTCGCCGCCTAAACAAAGTCAGTGACAGTCATCTTTTGTCAGCCCTATCGTATCCACTTACAGTTGTAGCACTTCTGGCCCTGGGTGCAGTCACGGCTCATGTGACCGAAACCACCGCACGAGTAGCAGGTGGTCTGGCGAGCACCACCGTAACCACCGGCACCGCCGCCGTAGCCACCACGACCTCCTCCAAAGCCACCGTTGCCGTAGCCGCCTCCCTGGGAGCAGTTGCGGGCAATGTGACCGACCTGGCCGCACTTGTAGCACTCCTGGCTGCCGCCACCACGGCCTCCCATCGGGGCACCGCCGTCCTTGGTGCACTCACGAGAGATGTGTCCAGTGCCGCCGCAGCGGTAGCAAGTCTTCTCAGCTTGAGGAGAGCTGCACTCACGGCTAACGTGGCCCTTCTCGCCACAGTTGTAGCAGGTTGGGGTTCCCTTGGTAGGGCACTCGGCAGCGCGGTGAGACGCATCGCCGCCTGCACATTGTTAGCAAAAGGCGCGTACAGCGTGTGAATCTGCAAAGAACCGCTCAAAGGACAGAAATGGTGACTGAGCTTGCTGTTCAAGAAAGCGACTGGCATCTTGCCCATTCAGTGTACAAGAAAATCCAGGGCTCGCTAAGTCGACCATTGCGGGGTCACAGTGGCGAGGGTGCCGTTTCGTAACGCTGGTAATATTCAACTTACAGTTGTAGCAGCCACGGCCGCCAGCGCCAGCAGCAGGAGCAGGAGCTTGGTATTCCATGATTGAGTTTGTGGAAGAGACCTATGCTTGTCAGATATTACTTCGTAGTCGCATGGCACATGGTGCGGGCATTGCTCTTACTGGAAGTGTCGTACGAGTAATGGAGGGAGTGACGTTGAAAGGCGATGTCTTCTGGTAAGTGATTTAAATTCAAAGGGTCGTTTGAATCGTACTGGCACCAATTGATGAGTTTGGATCGTTGTAGGAGGAACCGAGGGGCACCACCAGGGCAGAGAAAATATGTGCCCGCGGTTGTGTTTGCGCTAGTCTAAGCGAAATGCGGTCTAGCTCGTCGTTTGCTCCTTCCCAGTGTGTGGGTCGGGATGCTTGTTGGAATGAGGGACCGTTTTTACTATGGTTTGCGTGCGGAAAGGGCCCGGAGCGACTGTCTTCGGTCCGCGCCCCGGCGTGCTGAAGGCTAGGTCCCCGCGTGATTGGGGCATCCTCTCTAACTCCAGCTCGACGTCATTGGAGAGGCTGCCATCGCTTGACAGGCCTCGTGCAGATCGCCGGCTGTTCATGCAGCTAACCGGGCAGAGATAGATCGTGCAACCCATCGCACACGTGGTGCTATGATATGCGAATAATATTATTGCCGCCGACGAGCGCCGAGCGCGTCGATGCGCCCGTCCCTCAGACGCAATCGTGGGTGCCTTTGATGAGGCTGCTCAAGCCAGAGGCTGCATCTGCCTGTGCCAAAGGCTCGCATTCCGAGGCCTGGTGGCACAAACTATGTCTTGATCTACCAGAGTCATCGACTGCCCCAGTATGCCACTACCGTAGACTCAGTAACCTCAAAGGGTCAAGTACATGCGTGGGTATAGGCATTGGGATCACAAGCGATTCTCACACAGCCTACAATACCATGACAATGACTCGGGCGGTTCAGTGGCGTTTGTTGCATAGCGGGTGATACTGGCAGGGCGTTGAATTTCTATGAATGCACTAAGAGTGTTCTCCTAGTAGGCACAAGCAAGTCACAACACGGCGATTTGATACCGCGAGTTGTATGCTGTTGTGGATTTCCGGGTTGATCTGTGAAGAACATCGCATTGCCGCAATAAGAAACGACGGCCAAGTTGCATACCACGGAACACCAGTCCTGAAGTTCTGCGCGTGAAGTTCTCGTAGAACGCAGAGGGCCATACCAGAAAAGTTTGTAGGCCCGATACCTACACCAAGGGTCTAGAAGCATGTCTAGCCTGCCCTCTCCACCCCCAAAGAACCCCACCGCTACCGACCCACTGCAGTCCTGAGCCCCTTTTTGCCCTTCGCCGTTGCTCCAGCTCTGACACTTATTATATATATCGTCAAATCTTTTGTCCTTCCATCAATTCAAGCAACAACTTGAGATCGGGCTTGTGGTTTAGTGGTATAATACTCCCTTAGCATCAGTTCTTCCGCCTTCAAAAAGCGCAAAAACAGGCCTGGGAGTGGTCCGGGGTTCGATTCCCCGCGAGTCCATCTTTTTGTTTTTTTGCATCTGTGACGGACTTCCCGTACTGCTAGTCGCCTGTGTGGTGGGTTGGTGGAGGGGCTCCTTTTTTGCACCACGGTAAGCAGCTGGTCTGTGCGCCGCGCCTTATTCCGTTAAGGTTAAGGGGACTTCATCAATGCGATCCCGAGTCGCGAAAAGAGCCCTAGAGGTTTTTCTTGAATCAGTATAGAGTATCTCTTTTTCCACACACGCACACACGTTCGCTTTACGACATCATCCCCCAAAGCAAAGCGACTGTCGAGTTGGACGTGGTCGAAGGCTTGGTTAGATGGATGGTATTCCGAAAGAGGAAACACATCAGAATGATCTGTATCGAGTGCGTGGCCAGATGCCTTCGTTTGCGCACCGTATGGTGAATACACAACTGCCGTGGCCCTATGTACTTACAACGGTCCCTGATATCCCAACAATCTGGGCAAAGGTTCGCTCGCGTGCCAAAGTTCCTTGTGGTCCTATTTTTGTTTGTTTCTTCCACCTTGCCGATCTTAGCAACAAGAGTTAGCGCTAGGGCCTCCGGCAGCTTGTATCGGTATCGGGTCCGTAGTACGTAGAAGAAAGTACCCTTATCTCCACCAACACTGCCCACATCAGCCAAATCCCAGTGAATACACGAACGACCAGTAGAAAATACTTTGTAACAACAATTGTGCGCTCTAGTGATCTGTCACAACGCTCACTGTGGTTCCTCGGTATTGAGGCAAGACACGTCCGTTAGGCGTCCGTATCGCCATTTGAAACGACGGCGGTCGACGCTTTTATCGGCAATGTTGGAACTCTGAATAAGATTTTGCCCAGCCATTGGAACGAACGTACCAATAGGCAGCATGGCAAGAAAAGTTCCACACACGAGAAATAGTCCGGTCATTTTGAAAATAAAGCGCCGATTCGTCACCACCAAGAAAAAGACCATCCGGCAGCAAAAGGGCCCTGGATTCCGCATGTGCATCCATGCAGCACGGCGTGAGAGAGTGAGCAGGTATCCTACAAACAGTCTGGACCGAACCAGGAACTCCAAAATTGGGGTTATTGATGTTTCTTGTTTACGCGAAGCGCGGACGCTAGCAAGATCCGCGCCTCCATCAGGAAATAGGCCAGGGGCATCTTCTTGGCTGAGGGAAAGCCATAGTGCCCCTAAACCTTTCAAGGACAATCGTACTTTGTAATAGCACGGCAAATAATATTGATAGCGAGGTATCCTCGCAATACCTATGGTTTGGGCGATCAAGAGCTTACTGTATCTCTGAATTCAACGGTCTACAGAAAGAAGTAGTCGCAAACTTCATGGTAACAAAAGACATGTGGCACACGTCAATTCACCATATAACTAGACGCAGCCACATGTAGTGATTTCATGACTTTAATCAACGTTATCCGTGCCTCAGGTCAGCCATTGCAACATCTGACACACGCTGGGGGCTGAGCCGTCCACAGCCAAGCACGCTACATGCTGAATCGGCATCCATATTGGTTTTTATCCCCCGAACCCGGGGCAAAGCCTGTCCATTCTTGGCTGTGCGCAAATGGACATATATCATAAGTACTCACTCATGCGGTAATCTTTGCTTCTTGGTTACCCTTCCCCTCTCTTTGTTCCATCAAAGGGGTCTGTCACTCGTTTAAGTATCGCCTTTTTTGCATCATACATAATATTGGTCGATCATTCACCCACCCACCCACACTCGCTTGTTTTCTCATTGCTGCGCTTCAGTTTGAGACAGTCGATCGCTTCAAATCAATTCGGATCATGCGTTTCACAGAGTTGTCCGCAGCGCTGCTGCTGGCGCCTTTTGTGGCTGCTCACAGTAGTGGTCATACTCCAAAGATAGTTGGATCTGGATCAAAGGACATTGGCAGACTAAGGAGCAGGAACATCCTCGACAGTCGGGCTCCTCGGGTCGCTGGTCCTGAGAAGGCTCTCAGCAAGCGTCAAGGCGGCGCTGATGGTCGATGTGGAGCTGACCATGGTAACGCAAGCTGCGCTGAAGGATACTGCTGCTCCACAGCAGGTTACTGCGGAAAAGGATGTAAGGAATTCGAGTGTCTGGTTGATATGAACAACAAGCTAATGTTAGATGTCTAATCAGCGGACTACTGCGAAGCACCAGACTGCCGCTTCCAGTATGGTCCTGCCTGTGATGCCAACCAAGTTCCTACTGGAGGTAGCACCCGTGACACTCCTCGTACGAAGCTCGGCAACCAGCCATATGGTGGCGAAGGCATCTATGATTGCGTCGTCCCAAACACTATTGCCATTACTTACGATGACGGTCCATATATCTACACCAGCGGTGTACTCGACCAGTTCGCAGCCTACGGTGCCAAAGCGACGTTCTTCGTCACTGGCATCAACATTAACAAAGGTGCAATTGACGACAAGAGCACGCAGTGGCCATCTATCATATCTCGTATGATCGCTGAGGGACATCAAGTTGCCAGCCATACTTGGTCTCATCAGGATCTTAGTACCATTACAAAGGAGCAGCGATACGACCAGATGGTCAGGAATGAAGTAAGTGGTGACACAGGACGAAATCAATTACTCAACTGACTTTGTACTTCTAGATGGCTCTCACAAATATCATTGGCAAATTCCCGACGTATATGCGTCCGCCGTACTCATCTTGCACTGCTGCATCAGGGTGCCAGAAGGATCTTGCAGACTTGGGATACGTTGTTTCCTACTTTGATCTTGAGTAAGCATTCTCAAACATAATATTGAAATCACGCGCTGACTTGTGAATTAGCACTGATGGTTAGAAATATTCCACAACTTCTCTTATCAGCACCAGCCTTGCTAACAGCCAACAGACTATAACAACGTAACACCTGATCTGATTCAGAATTCCAAGAACAGAGTCAGTGCTGCGATCAACCCGAGCAAGCCAGCCGAAGACAACTTCCAGGCTATTGCACACGATATCCACCAGCAGACGGCACAGAATCTCACAGGCTACATGCTTGATTTGATGACACAAAAGGGATACAAGCTGGTCACATTGGGTGAATGCTTGGGCGACCCAGAGGCAAACTGGTACCGCACTCCCACCAATCGACCAGCCTCGTCGTCTGTGTTCACACCGCCTGCTTCTTCCACTGCCTCGGCAGCCGGCAGCGCCACATCCAGCGGCGCTGTCGTCACTCCTACGGCTGTGACTCCTGACAGTTCCTGCGGCTCCAAGGTGGGCTACACATGTCTCGGTAAGATTGGTAAACATGAATGGGTCCGACGCTCGCTAATCAACCTAACAGGATTTGCCCAAGGAGAGTGCTGTTCGCAGTATGGCTTCTGTGGAAACACTGCGGATCACTGTGGAACAGGCTGTGACCCCAAATTTGGCAAATGCTCAATCGCTGGATCTTCGGCGCCTGCCAGCCCCGCGTCTTCAACCGCCGGTGGGTCTACTCCGCCAGCATCCAGCACTGGCTCCGCTCTTCCAACTGCCACCCCCTCCAACGGGGTGTCCCAAGATGGTTCGTGTGGTGGTGCGAAAGGCTACACATGTGCTGGCTACTTTGAGGGCGAATGTTGCTCGCAGTAAGTCTATCTCTTTTTTTCTTTTTTCTTCACGAGACCATGTAGCTGACGAAGCTTGCGTAGATATGGCCGGTGCGGCTCGAGCGCTGACTACTGTGGAACCGGCTGCAACCCTCTTCTTGGTCGATGCGCGTCTTCCGCATCTATCCCGATTCCCAGTGTCCCTGCAACTAGCTCACCAGGCAGTATGACTACGTCTACTCGCCCAGCGACCAGTCCAGCGACCAGTACCCGAACATCCTCAGCAACCAGCACTCGCACATCGCCAGCCCCTGTCGCCACACCTACCCCCCTCAAGCCGTCGCCGAACGGACGCTGTGGAGGAAATACTGGCTATACGTGCAAGGGCTCGCGCTTTGGTGGATGCTGCAGCCGTAGTGGACAGTGCACCTTCGGCATTATCTCGTGCATGAGCATCATGGGCTGCCAGAGGCCTTTTGGTACCTGCCTCAGATGAAGCAGTTTTTTTCTTTGTGTTTATAATTTATACAGGGTGCCAGTTCTTTCTGTAAATCCTTGAATAGTGTATAATCCAGGCAGTGGGGGTAAAGCTGGAAATCTGTATAGTAAAGATACAAGTAAGAGTCAGATGGCTTCCCAAGTCCCTAGGAAACCTACTACATAGCTGAACAAGGGCCACCTTCACTGCCTTCACTTTAGCTTTGTGGGGTGATGAGAGGCGACTGATGGTGGTGCATGAGGAATGGGCAATCGGTAGCCTATAATTGCAAGATGGAAAGGCCGGATGGAGAGGCGGCTACATGAGAGATATGATGTGGCCAGGCTTGGCACTGCAGAGTGAAAGTCAGAGGCGCGACTAGGCCGTCTGTTGTCGTGACGTGGTGACGTGCCACCCGGTCCCGGAGCTCCGCCGCGGTCGTCCCAATTGCGCTAGCGTACTAGTAGCTTCGAGCAGTCGGCGCCAACCAAGTCACCTCAAACTTGTCGAGCTTCCTTCTTGCACCCTCAATTGACAACTGCGCTTCATCGCAGCTCGTCACTTGCATTTTCTCTCTATCCCCAAGTCGTTTTCTTCTTACACGGTACTTTTCTCTTAGTTCAGCTTTTACGGGACCCAGGCTTCGGCCGCGCACGCGAATTTTGGGTATTGAGTAACGTACGTCGCCCACAGCGTCAGCTGCTCATCGTCAGCAGTGAGATGCGTGCGTTTGCCGCCTTTACTAATAACAGACTAGATCTGCCCTTCCATCCCTCACCATGGCCGACCTGCAAGAGCTGTTTGCCCGGCTCCAAGGTGGCGGCTCGAGCAATCAGCAGCAACAGCAACAGCAATCGCAGCAGCACGGCTATCAGCCGCCTTCTGTCTCGTCGCCCATCTTCTCTCCCTCACCGAGTGGCCCACAGCCCCATCATCACTCTGCCGTCATGTCACCCAACACGTCCATGGCGAGCACGCCTGTACCCGAACAAAGCCATGTGCCGCACCAGACGCCGCAGCAGCAGTCAACCAACCTTCTCAACCTACTGCGCTTCAACTCACAGTCTGGTTCTGCGCACTCCAGACGCGTTTCGCAGCAGTCGCTGGCTCAGACGTCTGATTTGATGGCAAGCATGATGGGTGGCGGTAGGACGTCATCCCAGAGCGCTCCCTCTCAAGCTCAGGCTATGCCGGCGCCCGTGCCTTCGCAGCAGCAGAACCCACAGGACCTGCTCCTCCGCCTGCTCAACCATCCTAAGCCAGCCCAGTCAAGCGGTCGCTCTTCTCGGCCTGTCTCAGCCGCGTTCTCGCCGCCTGTCGCGTCTAACAAGCCTGAAACGGTTGTGGACGACGTTGTGCAAGATTTCGCCGACGCTGAGCTTGAGCAAGTATCTGCTTCTCCCGTCGCCCCCGCACCAGGAACATCTGCCTCATCCACAAAGGCTTTTGGCTCCAACAGCAACGAAGCTTCATCACTCGCTCCAAAGTTCACATACGTCAATCCGTTTGACCAACTTGAAGCTGCAAGCCCGCGCAACCGCACTCCTGTCCAGCAAGGCTCTAAGCCACCCGCCCCAAAGGTCGAGATCCTCAAGAAGAACGCCCCGGAAGCTCCTCTCCCGCCGGCCGACGAGGACGCTCCAGCTCATGTACATGAGTCTGTGGCTGAAGCCGTGAATGACTTGGCCGAGCAAGTAGGGCAGCAAGTTGAGGATGCACTTGCCGAAGCTGAGAGCAAGTCAGCTACACCGTTGCCTGAGGAGGCAAAGGTAGAGAACCTAGAGGTTCAAGAAGTACAAGAGGTCATGACAGAGATTGCTACTGAGATCAAGGAGGATTTCGAAGACCCCAACAAGGCCAAGGAGATGGAAGCGAGTCTCTCAAAGCCACTCGCGGCTGCTTTGAAGGACGTTGCTACCGAGATTGCTGAAGACAATGTTGCTGAGAACTGGGAAACTGCCGAAGCCGAAGAAAGCCTTGCTAAGGGTGATGACCAGACGGTAATAGTCTACAGATTCCCTATGCGTGCCTTCGCCTCCATCCAGGTCAACCAAATGCCGCCCCGCAATCTCTACTTCAACAACGAGCTCTTTATGGACATTGCTCGTTTGAAGAAGGACTTTGACCAGATTGACCGATCTCTCGTTGCTGCAAGCAAGAACTTTATTGTCTATGCCCTCGTCAAAAAGGGTGGTTTCCGTATCATTCGTCAGGAGAACGGACATTATCGCCAGGTGTTTGAGAACCACCAAGAGCGCATCTTCAACATCGCTCTCTGCACCTCTGCAGATGATGCACAACAGCCACTTGAGAGCATCCTTGGCATAGGAGTCAACGGTACTGTCTTCTGGACATCCCTCGATCCTGCTCGTGAGGACCAGTTTGGCGAGAATCTCGACTCTCAGGGCCTAATGCTTCCCCCGTCGCCATCCCAAGATGATAACACATCTGGAGGTCAGCTCAAGACACGCGCCAAGCCATCCTCACGACACCCCGAGTTCTTCGCTGTTGGCCGGGGCAAGTCGATCCACATCATTTTCCCTCGAGTTGCTGCAGAGTACGCTCGCACCAAGAGCCGTATCTGTCACACCGAGAAATATCTCAAGGAGCGTTCTCTCAAGATTCTTACCGGCAAGGCCGGAAAGGACTTTACTTTCAGTGAGGACGACACCATCATCGTCTCATTGGACAAGGCTGGCCGCATGCGCTTCTGGGACATCCGTAGCCTTACTGAGCCTGACCTGGGCAACCCTCGCAGCCCACCCCGACAGGTAGAAGTCTCTGAGACCTTGCTCGAGTTCCACACTACGACACCGAACGCCAAGTCATGGCCCACTTCGGTCTTCTTCTTTGACAAGGACAAGCCTTACACTAAGGGTATTGCGCTGCGTTATGTCATGGTCGGTATGAAGCAGAATCACGCCTTCCAGCTGTGGGATCTTGGTCTCAACAAGGCCGTTCAGGAGATCCATTTGCCTCATGAGAACGAATCAGATGCTATCTGCAGCGTTTCGTTCCACCCCCGAACTGGCATCATGGCAGTTGCCCACCCCACGAGGAACTCAATCTTCTTCGTCCATGTGTCATGCCCGCGTTACAACCTGCCAGTCCTGAGTCAAGCAGCCTACATCTCTCGCTTGGCTAACAAGGGTGACAAGGGCCAGAATCCTCTGCCTCCAGTCAATGCTACGGCCATCATGACAAGCATCACAGAGTATTCGTTCGCTCCAAAGGGCCAGATCAGAAGTTTGCACATGCTCAACGAGCCTGCCGGTCCTGCAGACGTTGATGACCCAGACAATGCTGCCCTCTTTGAGCTGTATGTTATGCACTCCAAGGGAGTATGCGTCTTGCGCATTCGTCGAAGTGACCTTGGTTGGAAGAAGGAAGGTGAACCAATTCATCCCAAGGAAGCCGAGGAAGAGGGTATTATTTCCATCTCGACACTCAAAGCGCCACAGCCTGTTACAGATGAGTCGTCTACTACTGGGGACACTCCTGCACCCAAGTCTGTTTCGGACCGATCTGTTCGCGAGACTCTGAAGAGAGAGAGCAGCAACATCTCTAAGCACTCAATGAACCCAGAGGCTGCTGTACGCGCATCTACCTTAGCCAAGGTCGAGAGCAAGCAAGATGCGGCTCGTGCAGCCATCATGAACGGTGGCAGTGAGAAGGCTGAGAAGAAAAAGAAGAAGCGCACGGCCGCCGCTGCGGAAGCAGCCTCTCAAGTATCGGTGGCTCCATCAGTTGCCCGCGCACCCACGGCCATACCTACATCATATGCGCAAGCTGCACAGGCGCTTCCTGTGTCCAAGTCTCCTGCACTCATAGAAGCTGCTCCTGAGGCGCAACCTTCCAATGCCAAGGTCACAGAGTCAACAACAGAAACGCCTGATTGGGCTAAGCAGCTTATCAACAAGCACATCCAGCAACAAGCCCCTGCTACTCCTGCTGTTGCTGGCAACGCTTCTGCTGGTCCAATAGACTCTTCAAAGCTTGAGGAAATTCTTCAAGCTGAGATCAGCAAGGGCTTCTCTCGCGAGTTGGATGTCATGTACAAGCGATTCGACGAAGACAAGCGCGTTCTCAACGCCGCGAATGGTGCCAAGCAAGAAGCGATACTACGCATGGTCTCCAGCACACTAAACGAGAACGTGGAAGGTGTCATCAGGAAGATGGTTGATGACAACATCCGTAACGTTTTGCTTCCCGAAGTTCTGGCGAAGACTTCGGCTACTGTCGAGCAAGGTCTTCAGAACAACCTCAAGTCCGCCCTGGGACCCCAGCTCTCGAAGGAAGTGGCCGATTCAGTGTCTCGAGCTTTGAAACAACCCCAGACAGTTCAGCCACTGGTTGATCAGATCGTCAAGAAGATCGGCAACCTTGAGGCCATGGTGGTTGCTGCTGCGGGGTCAGTTGTCAACCCTGCCATCTCAAACTTAAGTAACCTCATCGAGCGTCAAATCGCAACCGAGCTTCGTCAAGCTCGTACTCAGCGTCGCGATGACACTGCCAAGATCACCACGCTGACCGAGACTGTGCACACCTGTCTGGACACGATTCGAACCATGGCTGCGACTCAAGCTGAACTTCAGTCACAGGTGGCCAAATTGCAACAGGCCATTGAAGAGCGCCATACTCAGGCTCCTTCTCGTGGAGAGGGTACTATGCAGGCCGCGCGCTCTCCTCAAAAACAGAAGACTCCAGAGGAACTAGAGATTGACGCCATCCATAAACTCATGTCGGAGGGCAATTTTGAGCAAGGTACCATGCAGTGGCTGCAATCTGCACGTAGTGCTGCACTCTTCGACGAGGTCTTTGTGCGTTACGACCCTGCCTATCTCAACCAGGTCAGCCCACTGCTTGCACTCTCGACCGGAGCAGTGGTCTCTGAATCGTTGGGTCGCAACCTGCACGAACGTCTTGTCTGGCTCAGTGCTGTCATCAGAAGCGTTAATCCCGCCGTAAGTGCACTACTTCCCTAACCAGCTTTCTCAAGCTAACAAGTTTTTAGGATGCAGAGATTCGTGATATCATCCCAAAGATCATGGATGTCGTTGTCCAACGCTTGACGACTGCGTACATCCAGCTTAATGAGAGCACTCCTGGTAGCCCGCTTCTTCGCGCCATCTCTCAGCTGGTCAACAAATGTCATGAAATGACTCGCGCGGCTACACTCTTCAGCCCACGCGGATGAAGTGTGAGAGGTTATCCTTCAGCACTAAACCCCAACAATGAGATGATCTTGCGCTGAAAATGCCTTGACTTCCCATGTTTCAAGATGGATGGGCTTGTTTCTGGACATTGCTCTGGATTCTATCGTGCTGGTGTTTATTGAATTCTTACGTTCGACATTTGTCGATCCGTCATGAATGTCATGATCACTTGTCACCTGATGAACATGGGTGCAACACTCGTGTACCGTCGTTCCAAAACACGTTTTCACTTCTGTTTCAACTTTTTTTTATCTGGTTTTTCATTCGATGTGTATTTGAGTTTTTCCCGGATACCCACTTCTTTCGTTTTCAGCGTGTACTCAATGGCGTAATCTGACTGTTCAATGATGCTGGAATGCTCATTTGATTGTCGAATAATGCGGGCGACGATACGCTGAGTGCAAGGATGCTGAGGTGGATATGGCTCTGCTTTTGCTAGGTCTAGCTAGGGGATGTTCATTGGACTGATGCCTTTTACGAGACGTTATCCATGAACAGGTAATTGGGAGGGGGGATGTATGTGTGTACGATAAATGGGTTAAAGGCAATGATTCTCAGCATATTTTCCAAGTCCCGTTTTAGTCCCACCCGTGACCTCGTGAACTCAAGATGTTTTATGTGTGTAGACAAGAGCGACCGTATTGCGCAACGGTATTGCGCAATACCAAGCCAACATGGATGTGCAATTCGGACGATGCGCAAGTACCTCTCTCTCCTCCGTCCTTCCACAGACCACAAAAAATCGCGGCCCTCTTTGCAACCTGCGATGAACCAAGCGCCCATCCTACCAATCATACCCCTCACCCATTTCGTCGCACAACCGTTACAGATTCCACCATGAACCCTTGCCCGCCCACGCAACCCCCCGTCGTTTCCAGTCACGCTGAAACACCAACCAACCCGAGTCCCGTCCGCCGCGACCCCAACGACTGGTGTGGCCACTTCACTCGCAATGCCCTTCCCCCCCGCATGAATTCTAGTTTAAATGATATTAGTCTGGGATTCCCATTGTCACGCATTAGATCAGGGACGAGGATGGAGTGGGGGTGGGGGCGAAAACGAGCGTTGAGGCAGCGTTGGTCGCAGGCTATGTGTGCGTGTGAGATGGTTTTGTGGTATGCCGGGAGTTTACTTACGTGGACG